CACTTAGGGGTCTGACTATAATTAATGAAGTCTGGCGCCTTATGATCATTGATTACAAAGTGACGAAACCAACGGCCACAATATGGTCTATTGAGTCTATTGAGTTTTATGACGTATTGGACAATTTATCGTGGCGAAAAAAAAAATGACGAAAAATGTAGTAATTAATAAGATCGACATTTTTCGATGACGTATTGGTTGGGTATATGTCGTACGTTAAATTGAAATTTGCGTTAGATCAAAATTAAATATCGAGTTTTTAGGGTTAGAGTGAAAACCTATGTTAGGTAAGGATAATTATCTTGATCTGACGCAAATTTAATTTGATTGGTAATTAAAAATGGACACTTTTGGGTTTTGCCTGCGTCATTAGACTGCTCGCTCACCCGAATACATATGGAGAATTCATGATTTGTGAAATTAAGCTAAAATTCGGTCACCAAATTCAAGTATCTGGATCTCTAAATTTAGTTGCCAAATTAACAGATTAATCAAAATTTTCGGATTTTAGGGTATTTTATAAATTCACCGTAGTGATTGTGTTCGGTATTATTGCTTACTGTATAAGCACGAATAACGCCCAGGGGTGTAATTTCGAATTTGGCCTAAATTAGGCTTAATTCAGGCCATTATTCAAAATAGCGCCCCTGGCGTTATTTCGCGCTTATACGGTATTAACGTTTTTTTTTTTCGGGCACCCGTAGCTATATAATAGTTCAAGAACATTATCAATTAAATAATTAAATTGCTGACCGTCGATCCATGTGGTCATCTTAATGATCTGATAGTAATGTTTTTTTGACAAATCGAAAGCTCTACTGTTGTGTAAGAGTAAAAAGACCTAATTATGATCTAAGAGCAAGTAAATTATAAGGATTACTCCATCGAAATTGCTCAGACTCGGTAGCCACGTTGGATAGTACGCGTAGTTGTGTTGTACGTCAATTAAATTTGCGTCAGATCAAATAAAAATGTAAGCAACCGATGTGAGATATTATATAAGTAGTCAGCGCTGAATAGAACTTGTATAGTCAGTGCTAGAGTAGAATTGAATTTGAATTATGATCGAGCAATAATAATTTTGCAAGTATTTAATGTTTTATTTTTATTTATTTATTTTATTACTTGTTTTAATTATGAAAACAAATAAAGCTAGGTTCGTTTATTTTTTTGGGGGTTTAGTATGTTTATGATCGATGTGTTATCGTTTATTATCATCATTCGAGACTTGACGCAAAATAATAATATCCCTACAAAAAAAAGTGGTGTGGTATGTAATGACTACTGAAACTAACATGTTTGATAAAGTTTATATAATATGTAGTCTTAGTGCTTAACTAATCAAGATATTTGCATAGTGTTCAAAACTTGCTAAATTGAATTTTGTTTATGTTATTCTGTATTACTACTGCTATGATTATTTTTATATGTACAGCACTGTATATATAATTTTAAACCAATTTTTATGATTTATAATTACACAAATCTTTAGTTACAAATGTTATTAAACTGATTTTTGCTTAATAAATGGATTTAATTAGTTAAAAACTTATAATTTTTATATTCTAATAAAGAAATCGTAAGCTTCACTTCAGAAATTCAGTAACATAAAATCTATCTTAGACATGCGTTTGGAGATGTTCATCATAGCATTACCTGTTATTGATATTTGTAATTAATGACTAGGAATATAAAGTGTGTCATTTACTATTTTTTTTTTTTGATTCAATCATATAGATAGCGTCCAACCCATCTTTTCATTAAGATCATCTATAATTTTATAATACGTAGTACGTAAATGAGCTTACCCATTATTTAAATTATGTAAATGCACCGTAATATCAATTGTTACGTATACAGTACGTACAGTAATATGCTTCTAAAATAAGTTTGGTAAAATTTTTTGTTAATTAGATTATACAGTCAGACCTCCCTAAATGAATACCTCTCTTGATGTGACCTCAACCTTTGGCTCAAATATAGTTCTGACTCCATAAATGCAATTTTTCTTATTGTTCTCTAAATGTATGTTATCGAAAGTTGGGTCCTACGCGATTTGCTTTTAGGAGGTCTAACTGTACTTAAGAAGTGCTTTTAATATATATTATCTTTTTTAAATAATAATCACAGGTAGCAACATTTACAACTTAGTAAAATAGGCAAAAAATTTTTGTATATTTGCTTAATAAGATTGCAAAAATTGCAAAATTTGGTAATATTTTAATTTAATATTTCTACCACTACACTATATCGATATCATAATTTTTATTGTTGTATATATTAATTCTACTATGACCAGTCTTAAGTCTTCGTTACACGAATGATATTTTAACTTTTTTTTTTACAATCCTGCAGATTCATGTGCATTTTATACAGTAAACTGCTTTTTATAGACATCGGTTTTATATCTAATAAAAGTTAACATTCATCTGAGATTTGTACACTTGCGAAATCTAAAATACCAAAATGTTAAACTTCGTTTTAGATTATATTCCATACATAGTTATAGCTTTGTGTCTTGTATATCCTCTCAGAACTATCATTTACGATCAATTTCAAGCTTTTCTCTCAAAAAAAAAGGATATTGATGTAGTTTCTGCTGGAGGATTTATTCCATTTCTTCGTATACTTCACGCGGAACAAGGAGCAACGGTCACATCAAAAATTCCATTTGAAAATACAATTTCTGTGGTGAATTCCGAAGTAATGAAAGCAACTTTACAAATCGGTGATAGGCCTATTGGATTATTCAAATTTTTGGTACCACTTATAGGTGAAGATAATTTTCAGATTTTTGATGCCGAAAGAGCTGCGAGATTTAAAAAAGTAAGCGGACCTGCTTTCGGTCAGGAAGGTAATCAATCTATTAAGATAATACTTTATGTCTTTTATTATTTATTTATTTATTTATTTTTATTTTTTTTTTAAAAAAAATATTGTACATAGTTTTGATGACAAAATATGATGATATGCGAAGTGTTGGAATTGATTTGATCAAGCGGTGGGAAGAAAGTTCGAATTTGCAAGACAGCGTTATTATCAAGATGCAAGAGGAATGTCTCGAATTTGCTTTACGAGCAACTTCAAAGGCAATCCTAAGGTAATCGAATAACTCAATTGCATAAAAATGCATAGAAATGTTACTTAAAATAATAAAAATGCATAATTTCTCTATATAAAATCGACTTGAAAATAAAGTACCGACACGCCTCAGGACTTGGACTTTAAAAAATTCAAACAATCGTACGACGCCACGTTGAGTGGCTTGTTTGATAAACAATTTGGTCTCCTTGATGATCTTCGAGAAGAAGAATTACAGCAATCGCTCAATTCTTTTCTTACTACATTGAGTAAGCTAATTAATGATAGGAAAAATAGAAGTA